CCCACCCCTTTTGAACTGTGAGCCACCCTGAGTCCCCCCAGGGAAAAGGGCGGCATACAAATAAAGTGAACTGAACTGAACTAATCAGGAGTGGGGGGGGGTCAGGAGAACCAGTAGCGGAAGTTTTGAGTAGTTTGGCAAACGGCGCCCCCCTCCGTCCTCTGCCTCCCAGCTGATGGGGAGGGAATGGGGATTTTGCAGTCTCCTCCCCCTGCCACGCCCACCAAGCCACGCCCACAGAGCAGAGTGGGAAAGTGTTGACTCCTCCCCCTGGCCCTCCTCCCCCTGGTTGCCCTTCCCTGCCCCTCCCCAGAGAGTCTTTTTTGCAATAGGGAGGCCAAAGTAGATCCAGAGTCTTCCGTGTCTGGTGCTACCAAAGCTTTGTCCATGGACGCTTCAGGTGGTCCCTGGGGGGAAGGCGGGGAAGCCAGCGGGAGACCTGGCCTTCCAGGGGAGCTGCCTGCTGAGCAAGGGCCGGGCAATGGGAACCCCCCTCCCTTGGGCAGGCCTAGCCGGTTTGAAGCCGCTGCCATCCTTGGCACTGGGGGGGGGGGTGGAGGCTGCAGAGCCTTGGCGCTCCTTCCTGGGTGGGGTCTCTGGTCATCCCCCGACTGGGCTCCTGCCGCAAGGGTTAGGCCATCGGGCTGTTGTTTTTTTAACTCTGCTGTTTTTCTCAGCCTCTGTTTTCTTTTTTAAAGGTTTTATTAATATTCTACAGATAAAGTTTTTATTGTGTGCCACCTAAAGTCACTTTTGTGTGGCCGGGCAGCCCTGTGCAGCTGAAGAATAAATAAAAGCTGATGGAGAGCCCCTTTCCCTGAGCCCCCCTCCCTGTTTGTTCTCTTGCCCCCCCCCACCCCCAGGATCCCTCCGGAGCGCCCGTCCCCGCCGCCCCCAAGAGACAGAGCCTGGAGGGTGGCTGAGCAGTTCTTTTATTTCAAGCAACAACAATTGGAGTCTCCTGGAAGAGCTGCTGGGCTCCCCTCCCTCATGCTTCTTCCTGGGTGTGAAGGAGCTGCTCCTCGGTCTGCTGGAGGCTGTTCACTAAGGCCATGATCTTCTCCTTGACTTCCCCCTCCAGGGTGCTCAGTTGGTCCTCCTGCCCGCTGGCATGGGGCTGCAATCTCTGGCCCAGCTTCTGCACCTTTTCCACCACCAGATCGCTGAAGCTTTCCCCTTGGGACAGCGCCCGCTGGCGGAAGTCCTCAATCTGCTGCCTGACGTCCGTGTTCAGGCTGTTCAGGTGGGAGGCCAGGTCTCCCTGCAGAAGCGTGTCGAGCTGTGCCCGCAACTGCTCGGCTTCTTCCTGGAGCTTCTCCCGCAAGGCCTCCGCGCTCTTTCCCACCTGGAAGGAGAGCTCTTCCATCTGCCGCCTCAGCTGCTCCGGCGTGGTCGGGGCGTAGGGGGACAGTCTCTTGTACAGCTCCTCCACCGCCTGGTCCACCTTGGCCTTCAGCTCCGCAGGGAAAGGGCCCAGCTGCACCTTGAGGTCTGCCACCTGCTGGTTGATGGTCTCCTGAAGCCTCTGGACGTAGGGGGAGAGGCTGGCCGGGTCCCCCACGTTCTCCTTCAACCGGGCCTGCAGCTCCTGCACTAAAGGTGCCAGTTTCTGCTCGATTTGGGTGGACAGGATGTCTGTGGTGGTTTGCAGCTGCTCCATGTAGGGCGCCAGCTGGGTTTTTAGGTTCTCGGCAGTCGTGGTGACCTGGTTCTGGGCCTCCACCAGAAAGGGAGCAACATCTGCCTGCAGCTGCTCCAGCTCCCTCTTGAGTTTTTCCTTCACCTTTTCCCCTTCTTCCATCATCTGGGTCTGCAGCTGCGTGATGTACAGGAGGAACTTCTCCTGCACTTCCTGGCTGTAGGGGTTGATGGCCTGGAGGTGTTGCTGGATCAGGTCCCTGGGGGAAAAGGGGAGGGAAATCACAGCTTGTCCCTTTCCTCCCCCCCATGACTTCCTATTGGAGCCACACCTGTGCAGGTGGGCCTCCCCCACCTGACTGCAGGGGAACCTGCCGTCTGCCTTGAAAGGGTTTTAAGCCTGGGCTTGACGGGCAACTCACGTGACGTGCTTGCTGATGTCCGACTGCTGGGCCTGCCTCAGGGTCTCCCTGGCATTGCTGCTCAGCTGGGCGACGTACTGCCAGACCAAGTCAGTCAGTTGTTGGGGAGAGGGGCTATCTTGGGCCCCTGCAGGAAGGAGGAGAGAAAGGGTCAGTCCTGAGGGCCAGCTCTCTGGGAAACCCAGGCCTGTTCAAGGGACTAGAGACCTTCGTCTGGACTACTGTGTCCCCCTTTCCAGCCACCTCCATCAAAGGGGCTGCTGCTTCTCCTGCTGCTCACAGCCGAGCCGCACTTCTTCTCATCTTCTCTGAAGCCCCCCCCCCCATTTCCGTTTGAGCCACGCAGCATCTCTGGATGCCTTTAGCCCAACCTCTCTCTGCCTTCCGGAGGCAGCCGATTAGCAGAAACACCCGGGCCAGAGAAATCCCGAGGAAGGGCAGAGGAAGGAAGGCAGTTAAAAGATGGGGAGAATGAGATCCTGGTACCTGTGGTGGCAATCAAGAGTCCGAGGAGGAAGGCGGCTGCCTTCGGAGACATGGTGGCTGGCAGGAAACGGCACGCAAAGTCCTCTCGGGAACAGACCTGTGGAGAAGAGGCAGAGGTGACTCTTTGTCCCAGGGCCGAGCTCTCTGTTGGCCCCGCAGCATCGCCTCAGCAAAGATTTTGGGCTCCCCCAGGTGGAAGTAAGGGGAGCCAGGAGCTTCCCCCAAGGGGAGAACCAGAGCCAAAGCCAGGGGTGCCTCTCAAGCTGGATGGGGGGCGGACGAGGCAACACCAGCCTCGCCCAGCCCACCTCTTGCCCGACAAAGCACCCGGGGCTGCCCTCTTCTGCCCTCAAGGAGCCCACGCACGCAGCTTGCCCGGTCCCCTCGGGCTCCAAAGGAGAGCAGATCCCCGTTTGCAGCCAGGGCTCACCTTCTCCAGCGAGGCTCCTTCTGCTCTGCAGCTCTGCCTTGGCAGCCGCTCCGTACTTATACCCTGGGGACGGCATCTTCTTGCCTCCACGCAGGCTGCTGACACCTCCTTGAGCTCTTGGACTTTAGCAGGAATGTGACGTGGAGGCCTCCACCGCCACAAGGTTGCCCGTTATCTGCAGCCCCACCGCAGAATTCTTGCACGGTGCCCCAGGCTCTGCCAGCAGGGAGGAGACAGCACAATCTAGGCAGGTCTAAGGTTAGGAGAGCAGGAGAGGAGCAGGATTCTGGCAGCAATGATAAATATAATGTTACAGTAGTGATAAATGAAGTGGCCAGGAATGGGAGCAACCCAGGAGTGGAGGATTAACGGGATTCTCCCCTGAAACCCTTCCAGGCCTGGAGGCCCTTCTGCATTGGGGGGGGGGGGCAGGCCAGGAATCTTCAGTGGGAATGACACACCCCTCTGCCCCCCACTATGAGGAAAGGAGCTTAGCCACAAAGGTTGTGGGGCCGTCCCGAGCCCCCTGCTGTCCCTATGGAAATACACATCAGACACCCAGCCAGGCTGCAGCTGAGGGGCCCCTGGCCGAGGTCTGCTGGGCTGGCTTTGCTTAGACTCCACATGGAGCTCAAGACTCAGAATGTCACCCTGCCTGCACCCAAGACTACAACCTGCCAAAGCCCCTCCCCACGGCCGAACCCACAGGCCTCTGGGGCAGTAGTGGCCCCCACCCCTCTTTCCTATTATCTTCCGTGGGAGAGGAAAGGAGCAGAATCCAGAGAACCAAAATTCACTGGGGGCCTCTGGCCAGCAGGTGACCAGGGGGAGGGGCCCAGAGGCGGTGGAAGAACCCCAAGGTCCCCGCCGGCCAAGAGAGGCCCCAAAGGCCTCCTCCCTCCAGAGGCCCAGGGAGGTCCAGGGAGGCCTCGGGAGGAAGCAGCCTCTGCCCAGAGAGGCCGAAGGGACATCAGGTGGCTTTGTGCCTATCAGGAGCCATCTGGGGCCCCACACACAAAACGCAAAGTGGGAGCTGCATCTTGTGCCGGTTGCGTTGCTTCCCTTTTCAGATTTGGTGCCCTTCGGTTTCATCCTGTGACTGTGTGTGACACAACACACAGAACCATCACCCAGCCGGCTCTGGCACCCTCCACTTGGCTCACGGGGTTCATGACGGAGTTTGAACCCCGTGATTAGACGCCATCTTTCAAAGGGAGCTTTGCTCAGGCATGAATAGCCCGAAAATCAGGCCTTGGAGCTCTAGGCAACACGGCTGGAATTTGGCCAGAGCCAAAGGGGCGCAAAGCTTAGCCCAACCTCTGGCAGATGTTTTGGACATCAGCTCTTCCCTATCAGCCCCCCCCCCCCGTCTCCCCAAGATATTTTGGCAAGGGATTGTTTCTGCAGGTCACAAGCCTCCCTCTTTGGCCCTGTCTCTCTTTGGCAGAGGGAAAAGCACCTTCTGGCTTCTCACCGAAGTCAACAGAATCCGATGACCGGGAGGAGAATCTAAGTGGGGGGAGGCTTCCTTTAGGGTCCCTATGCAACCGACGGAAGACTCTTTCAAACTCCTGGGCAAGTTGTTATGTGGGGTTTTATGGCCGGCATGGATATCGCGTAAACAGAAGGTCTGGCTGTTGTACCCATTGACCCATAATCCACCCCTCTCAGTAGGTTCAAAGCTTTGCTCTCCAAATGGCGCTGCGGATGGAACATGGGGAAGCCCTGGGAGGGCAAATGACCACCCAGGCCGGGATGAAGGCAGAAGAAGCCACACGCAGGCACTCAAGCGCTTCCAAGACCCTCCCAGGTGCCTCCTTCTCACCGGTTCCCATCTGGCTTTGCCGAGATGGAGGTCTCTCTTTGCCAGCTTCCAGCCAGGCTCCCCATGCCAGGCCCACAACCATGTTGCCAACCGCAGTTCCAAAAGCAGGGAGCCTCCCTCCACCCACCCACTTGGACCCTCCATCTCCCGGCCACACCACTCTTCTGCAGTTCAAGGTTTGGCTACCCTGGGGAAGGCACTGGCCAAAGTCTGGGCATCCTGGCACCCGGGTCCAAGAGAATCAGTATTGCATTTGCCTGACAAAGCAGAAGCAGGGGCTTTCTCAAGTGGGTGGCCTTGAAGCAGGGGACAGAGATCGGGTCTAGTGAGCTTCTGAGCATGTGCAGGCTGCCTCCCCCCACCCCTTGGCTGAAACAGGCAGCACAGCGATGCAGGCTGGGGGATTTGAAGGCTTCTCCTGGTGTAGAAATAAACTAGTTTGTTTAACTGACCCCTGACTGGCCTGGCTGTGTTATCTGGGGGTCACAGTCCAAGGCCAGCAGGGCTGTTGTGCAGGATGAAGGGGCCGTGGCCAACAACACCCCACAGGGTTCAAAGATGATCCCGTTGGTGCTGAGAGGCCACAGGTTGCCAGAGTGTGATTGCGTGGGAGCCCCGAAGAGCCGGTGGAAAGAAACAGGAACCTCCAACACAACCTTGGCCAGGAGCCAGGGCTGTCCTCGCCACCAAAGGCCTGGGGCCGGGAAAAGAGAAGAGCTGGCCCCTCGGGCTTGATTTGGGAAGCCATCCGGGCACAGAGCCTGGCTTTGCACTGACACCCCCCATCCCCAAATCTAGGCCAAGCCACACACACACACACCCCTCAGAAGGACTCGGCTAGCCGGGTGCATTTGGATCCCTTATTTTTGCACCCCAAAAGAAGAGCTGGCACAGAAACAGGGCAGACTGGCCCCAGCAAGCACAGCGATTTCCCAGCTGCCCAATTGAAGGCCTTTTGGGGGAGGGGCAGATTTACCCAGAGAGAGAGGGAGGGAGGGAGGGAGGGAGGGGGAGAGTCCAAAGAAGCCCCCTGGGTCCCTCTCCACAGACTGCCAACTGACTGTGAAGCCCCAAAATCAGGAGACAGTAGAAGAGATGGTCAGCTAAGTGGTCTCTGGGTGTGAGATGCCCCTCACTCGGACACCTGCACCTCCCCACGCACCCCCCCTGCAATCCCTCGGGAAGGAGACCCCCAGAACATCAGCAGTAGCCCCGGGAGGAACGGGAGACGGCTGGGGGGCAGGCAGAGACCTCACTGGGTCTCTATGTCTTTCACAGCGCCCACCATTGGCCTTCCATTCCCTGCCAGCCCAGCTGGGCTCCGCTGTTGGTCTCCAAGAGGCCCGTCCAGCAAAGAGGAGAAGGTGGCAGGGAGGGAGCGAGCGCGGCCACGCCATGCCCACCCGGGGCCAGGCCGGGGCTCTGAGAGGCGCTGCTCGGGGAAGGGCCCTGCCAGACCGGCGGAGCAGCGGAGGCGGGCGCGGGGCGGGCGAGTGTCCCAAGCGCAGCCAACGGGGGCCGGAGGACGGAAGCCCCCCTGCCCCGGGCCGCCCCTCCCAAAAGCCCCCCCGCCGGAACTTTGGCCGGGCAGCCCCGGGGGGAGGGGGGCTATAAAGGGGGAGCCGCGGCCGCCCCTTCGGCAGAACGGACCGCTCTTCGGGGAAGCCCAGCCGGAAGGTGAGACCCGGCGGCAGGCAGCGCTGCGGTCTCCGCGGGGCAGGCAGGCGGCGGGCCGGGGAGAACCGCCGTCGCGTCTCCCTCGGGGGCTCTCAGCCGTCTCGCTCTCTCTCTCTCCCCCTCAGTCTACCTGGCAGGGCGGCTGTTTCGAGTCGAAAGGGCGAACGTGACTTTCAGCTCCCGGAGAAAAGGTGGGAGAGGAGCCTCCCCGTCCGTCCAGCAACGCCGGTCCCAGCAAGGGGGCCTCGGGGCGGTTGCAGAAGGCTTTCCCATGGGGAGAGGCGCGCTGGGACCCCCGCCTGTGGAAGCCCTGGAGGGAACGGAGCCTGCCCCCCCCTTCCGCCGTCTGTGCCCCTCGCTGCCAGCCCCTGACCCTGCCCGGCTTCCTCCCCCTTTTGCCCCTTCTTTGGAAAGATGCCCGGCCTGGAGCCAGGGGCCGCCCAGCCCTCCCTTCCACTCAAGGCAGCCCCTTCCAGGCGAGTGACGACCCCTTTTCTCTGCACAGGACCCACCGAGGGACGATGAGGATCCCGCTCCTGCTGCTGCTGGCGGTGCTGGCGCTGCTGGCCACCGACGCACGTAAGAGGCTGCGCCGCAAGGGAGCCGAGCGGGGGCCCTGGCAGTGGGGCCACCGGGGGCTCAGAGGGCGGGGGGGGGCGCCCTTCTCTTGCCTGGCTCTTTCCCTGCCCCTCCCTGGCGAGAGCTCCCCCCATCCCTCAGCCTCCCCCCCCCTTGCTTCCCAGGCGCTGAGGAGGGCCAGGAGACGGTGGGGACACGTTTCCAGGGTCTCGTCCGGAAGGCGCAAGAGCACATCGCCAATTTCCGAGTATCGGATGCTTACCAGCAACTGAGGTGGGTTTTGGGGTCTCCGGCCTTTTGGAGGTGGGGAGGAGAGCCCAGGCGCTGCACAGCCCTTTGGGGGGGGCTGCTCCCCTGGGAGGGATTTGGAGCAAGGGGTGGGGCGCCTCCTAATTGGTCAAGACTGTGACCAGACTCTCCTTTTGCACAAAGCCTTCCCTTGGCTAGCAAGGAGAATCGGCCGGCTGAGCGTATAAATTCTGCTTCTGCAACTTGATTCTTTGCAGCCACCGAGATGTCCTTTGGGCTCAGTGCGCCTCCAGCCACGGCCTCCCAGCCCAACAGGGCCTCTTGAGGTGGGGGGCAGGAAGATCTGTTCCCTGAACTCCCTTTCCTCCCCTTCTCACCCCACCTTAACTCTCCCCAGGGAATTGTCACAGAGAGGCATTGAACGCACCCGGAGTGCAATTGAACAAGTAAAGACTCACATCTCAAACCTGCTGAAGGGATCTCCCTGAGCCTGGAGCCCCATTCCACACCCAGGAGCCCAATGGAGCCACAGCACCCTAGCCGTCCTCAGGACCAGGCGCAGCTCTCCCCCTACTCCTGCTCCTCTGGGGACCCTCAGATCGTCTGCCCCCTCTCCCTTTCTGGCTCCTCTCTAGTGTGGAATTGTCCTCATTAAAAGTAGCAGAACGTTGCATGCTTGGCTTTCTTCCTGTGCGCCGAATGGACGGGCATCTTACCCCCCGAAGCAGGAGCCCTGCTGGGATTTCAGGGGGGCGCAAGGGGCAGATGAGAGTCACAAGGGCTGAGGTGTGTCCCATAACAGGCCCCTGCTCAGCGCTGGCCGGGTGGGGGTGCAGACGGGAAGGCCCTGCCCAGGGTCCTTGGGGGCCAATAAGACACACACCTGGCCTGGGAGGGGCACCCCCACATGCTGCCTTCAAGCACTTTGGCTCTGGCCCAAACAAACTCCTCCCCTGGGTCCTGCCAACCTCCAGCCCCCAAGTGATTGCATTACGGAGCCCCCGTTTGCTCCTGACATTAGCAGGCATTCACACCCGGACCCCATTCATGGGCTGGCCTGTGGGGAAACACGCCCTGTGCCCCAAGCATCCCCCTTCCGAGGCTGAGCCCCACCCTCACCCCACCCCCAAGCTCCGTTGGACTAAATGCGAGGGAGGAAGCATCCTTCCCATCGCCTCCCAGCTGCCAAAGAGGCCTGGAGGAGCTTTGGAGGAGCTGAACCCCGAGTCCTTCAGAGCCCAGGTCCCCCCCCCCGGCCCCCATCATGCACAGGACGCAGAGATCATTTGCATATCACAGATGTTTTTATTTGGCACAAAAGAAGGAGGAGAAGAGGGGAAAGTCTGGGTGGAGGTGGGGGGTTCTCTTGCAAAGGGATTGCCAGCCTCCTCAGCCACCAGGATGGGTCACCGGGACCCTTGCGGGGGGAGGGGAGCGGCAGTGTTGATTGGGGGGCACCCACGCGGGGCCTCTAGGAGCTCTCCTGCTGCTGCACCTCCTGCTCCGAACCACTGTCGGTCACAAAGAAGGACTTGGCGCTCCCCACCAGGGTCAGCAGCTCCTCCCGGGCCTTTTCCAAGAGGGGCCCGTATTTCTCCCGCGCTTCGCTCAGTTGCTGCTGCAGCTCGGTCTGCAGCTCGGTGAGCTCGGTCAGGGCGCTCTGCTCCAGCGTCTTGGCCTTCTCCTGGAGGAGTTGCTCCAGCTTCTTGGTGTAGGGAGCGGCGTCCTTGCGGAAGGCATCCACGTGGCTTCGCACCTTGTCCCGGAAGGCCTCGGCCACCGGCCTCAGCTTGTCTTGGGCCGCCTGGTTGATGTCCTGGGAGATGGTCTTCAGCTGCTGGAAGTAGATGGCCGCGTCCTGCTGCACGTTCTCCCGGAACTTGCGCAGGAAGGGCTGGATCTGGACTCCGACGTCCTGCACGTCATTGATCACCTCTTCCTTCAGCTTCTGCCAGGCCGCCCGCAGTTCGTTCCTCACTTCTTCCAGCTCGGGTGCGATCTCCTCCTTGATCTGCCGCAGCACAATTGTTACGGCTTCCAACTTCTGCCCTAAGGAGACTCTGCAAGAGAGCAAGAGCCGGGTCAGAGGCTGCAGAGGACGGAGAAGAGGCCTCCACAACACCGGGAACATTTGGAAAAGCAATGACAAAGAAATCAAAAGACAAATTTTTTGGATGACTGGGTGGGAAGTTGATCTGACTAAAGAAAATGACATTATAACCAATAGAATCCTAGGACTGGAAGGGACCTCAGAGGTCTTCTAGTCCAACCCCAAATTCAAGTTCTGGAAAACAGTTATCATTCCCCACCACCTCCCATCTTCCTGTCCTGTTACTTAGACATACGCAGCAGCTCCCTCCACTGTTCACACAATTCAGCCCCTCTTCATCCTTCTTTCTTGCACTCTTCCCTGCACTCTTTCCAGGGCCTCATCATCTTTTTTTTCTATCATGGCGGCCAGAACTGGATGCGCAACTCCTAGTCTTATCGGTGGGGTACAAAGTGTACTGTCACTTCTTGTAATCTTTCTGCTGTCCCTCTGTTGATGCAGCCCACAACCGCATCGGCCTTTTTGGCAGCTGCGGCACAGCTGTGGCTCAGGGGGCTTCTGGGGGTCCCCTAGGATGAGGTCACCAATCTATCATTTTTCCCCACCTCTGTCTCTCTCTCTCTCTCTCTCTATTCTCCCCGAGGTACAAGAGAATAAAACCAACAATTCCTAACAAAAACACCAAGGATTTTTTTAAAAAAACTATTGTAATATTTAAAAAAAAATAACACTGTTTTAGTGAAATGCAGGTGCCTCAAATGAAGAGAGTCTCCCCGGGGAAAGAGAAATGGTATGATAGCCATTGCTAGGAAATTAACATCTGTCGCTTTTTAAAGGTTCTTAAAGGAGGGGAGGAGAGCTGAAAATATATTGTCTGGTGAATTAATTTCAGTTTTAAATCATGAGACGTGTATATTTAAAAAAAAAAAAAAGTGGAGCCAGAGGTTTCCCATAGAAAGTGGAATTGCTGCTTAGCTGCCGTTCAAGCAGAGCAATCTGGAAAGCTGGCCACACCTTTTACTTAACCGACATTTCAGTTTACACGTCGTATTTGGAAGGCGAATCGAACTCAAAGCAGAGAGAAGCCACCCCTGAAAATGAACCGATCTGGCGTAGGAATCCCTTGTTCAGCCCAGGCATCGCAACGCTCCCTCCTCCTGTGATCCGGAACCAGCAGGCAACGGGGTCTCTCGCAGGAGCCACGTTTAGGAAAAGCCCAGGAGATGCCAGCAGCCCCTCTCAGGTTGCCTTCGCCCCTCAAAGAGGCTGGGGGATGGGGGGGGGGCATGAAACTGCCCCAAAGGCCTGCCCCCTCCCCGGCTCCCCACAGGGGGGGGGGGCACAGGAGCCGTCTTCCCCTCGGAAGAACGGCTGTTCTAAGGCTCTCTCGGGGTATGGGCAGCTACCGGCCACCGGGCAGGGCCTCCAACAACGGTCTCAGACTCCGTCGTCCCTGGGCTGCTCCACCCGCCCTGCCTCCCTGCCAGAGTGGCTGCCGATCAGCGTGGGCATCCTGAACACAGAGCCCAAGGGGGCTTCTGCTTCTCCCTCGGATCTCTCTCTCTCAAGAGGCCCCTGCCCTGAAACCGCCTTCTTCCCCCTCTCCGCTTCCTTTCGACTTTGCTGCTTCTCTTGCTGCTTCTCCGTTTGAGTTCCCTGTTCAAGAGGTCTCTTTATCTCCCAAAACGAAAAACTCCCCTTGTCCGTCCCCAGGGACCATGGAGGAGGTGGGTGATGGGCCCAGGGACCCCCCTCCCCTCCCCTAGGAAGGCTGGCTCTGCCTCTTCTGCCCTCCACCCTCCAGGCAGCCCCTGGGATCTTCCCCCGCCAACAGCCTTCTTTGCCCGTACCTGCCCTGCCAATCAGAGTACATGGGGGGGGGGGGGCTCACAGCTCTCCAGAGCAGCCGCCTCTCCCTCCTCCCAGAAAATCCCAGAGCTGCCCCCCCAGCATGCCTCCCCCACCCCCTCCCGAAAGGTGCAAGGCGCTACTCACTGCAGCTCCTGGGCCACGGCAGAGGAGTCGAACTGCCCCACGGCTTCCTGCACGGCCACCTTGGCCGACTCCAGGTACACCTGGCCCAGCTCCTGCAGGCGTTCCAGGCGGGTCTGCTGGGGGTCATCGTGCTGCCAGAAGTAGCGGGCCTGGGCTCCTGCAGGGCAAGGCGGAGGGAGGGGGCTCAGCACCCAAAGGCAGCCCTTGCTACCCCTCCTGCTGGAGCCCCCATGGGAGCAGCCGGGCAGCCTCGTCCCCCAGACCCAGCCCTGCCCACCCGGCGGCTCCTCTGCCCAGAGACTCACCTGTAAGGAGCAGGAGGGCCAGGAGAAGGTTGAGACTCTGCATCCTGAGCTGCTACGTCCGACTCTGGGAGGGAGAAAAGCCGTTGAAAGAGAAGCGCCCCCTCCCTCTGCCCAGACCCAAAGCTCCCTCTCCTGGCAGCGGCCCCAAGGAAATCGGCTGAGCTGGAGGGGCGCAGGGTGGCTCTTCATGCCCAAAGGCCCTCTCAGCCGAGGATCCGGTCCCTGCCAGAGGGTCAGCCTGGCCGCCTTCTGCCTTGGCCCTCCCCAAGAGACCCCCAGAAGTAGCCCCAGCCCCTCCTCCCCACACCCAGGGCTCCCCTGCCCTCCTTCTCTGCCACCCTCTTGGCCAGCTGAGAGCAGCTGGCCGGAGCCAAGCCCAGCAGTGCCCGCATCTTACCAGCCACTCGGGTGTCTGCTGTGTCCTTTGCTGCGTGGAGTCGGTGGAGGCCTTTTATACCGGCCTGGTTGTTTATTGCTGGAGATAAGCAGTAGCTATAAACAGGGAATTCACTCCTGAGCGATGACTATGTGGCGCTTAAGAGTTCAAGGATCAAACACATTGCCAGGCAGGAGAACGCAGGGACAAGGGAACTCGCTGGCATCGAGCCAAGAGCCGGGCTGCCTGCGTACCCAGCGGGCCAACAGACCCCCAGCGGCCCAGGAGCGGCTGCAGTGAACAAGGGCCCGGGGGCTCTTGGGGGAGGCTTAGTGGCCGGCGGGGGCCTCCGGCCGTGGGAGGCTTCCACTCACCCCAGGGCAAGCTTATGGGAGGTCGGGCTCACCCCAAGATCAGCAGGCTAAGGCGGCTTTCCTCCCCCATCAAGGCCAGGGCCTCATTCTCCCCCTTCGGTCCCAAGCGGCAGAGCGGGGGCCCCGCCTGAGCAGACGCCCGGGGGCAGGAAGCGGAGAGGGATGGTGCCAGAGGAGAGGGGCAGGCTGGCCAATCAAGAGCGCTCTGGCAGAGAACACGCACTCCACATCTTCAGGATGGAAGGTGGGCTTTGTCGAGAGCGACCCCCTCCCTCGAAAGGAGTCTGTGCAACCCATTGGTGAGCTCATGAGCTGGTTTCTTTCCAACCAGGCCTAACAAACCGTTCAGGATCTGCTGAGTTGGGCTGCAGGAGAAGCCAGCAAAGGGCGGCACTCTTGGGCTTCTCCCCTAGAAGCCACTCCTGGGGGCTCCAAAATCCAGCCCTGAGCCCTGCTTGGCAGGCGGATGATGGCATCAAACCCCCAGGGCAAACACCAGTCCGGCCTGAAGGAGGCTTCCCGCATGGCTGGGGTCCTACCCCACCTGAGATGGAGGGGGTGGGAGCTCCTTCCTTTCATTCGGGTGGCTGGGCCAAGCCACATTGGGGGGGGGGCTTTGCTTTTCTCAACAGCCAACAGTTGTCAGGGCTGGGGGCACCTCCCACCCAAGGGCTCCCACCGCCGGATTTTCAGAGAAGTCCCTGGGGGCACTAGGCCGGCTCCCCAGCTCTCCTCCCAGGCTGTAACAAATCCTCAGATCGGGGGAGTGGGGGGCACAAGGGTGAAGGAGGGACACCCACCCCTCTCTGCAGCAACCAGCAAAATGGGAGGGAGCTGAAGGAGATGCCCAGATGCCCAGCGAGGAGGGGAGCAGGCCTGGCAGGGGCCCGGAGGCCCTAGGCACACCTCCCACCTACAAGGGCTCCCCGTTCCGTGTCAGGAGAAAGAGGGGTGGCAGAAGCGTCCCCCTTTCCCCCCCCCCCGCCTCAAGGGCTGCTCCGGCCGGCCATTTCCCAGAGCTCGGACGGAGGCTGACCCAGAATGAAGAGCTCGGCCTGCCAGGTCAGCGGCTTCACCTGAGGACTCCAAGTGGGGGCAGCTTTCCCTCTAAGCAACCGAGCCGGGGGGTGGGGGGGGGTGGCATCTGCCAAGACCGTGAGAGGCCCAGAGGGGGGCTGCCTCCCGAGTCCCCTTGGGGGAGACGGTCCCTTACAGCAGCTTCTCCCCGCAAGAGGCTGAGGTGGGGCTCTCCTGCAAAGGAGCCCCTGCGGGGCGTGGTCAAAGTCAAAGGGGCGGAGCTTCACCTCCAGCATTGCAGCCATCCTCTTGGCTCTTTTCACACACACACATGCCCCCCCCCCAACGGATGCCCTGGAACAGCCCCCACCCCCACCCCCCAGGTAGGGGACCGGGCCGGGCAGCAGCTTCTCCAACAGCAGCAAGAGAGGAGCGAGACCAGAACTGAGAGCCAATCAGAATCGAGGGTTTATTTGAACAACTAGTTGCAAACAGCCCACCCACCCAAAACGGAACTAAGGATTAACTGAAAACCTGGGTGACGTGTGTGTGTGTTTGTGTGTGTGTGTGTGTGTTTAGGCTCTTGTTTTAGTCCAACATAAACGAGAAAAATACTCTGGACATTTTCCCCAAAACAGAAATAATAGCAAAGTATGTTATACATTCAACATATACTATAAGTACTGATTATACAATACAAAGCAACAATAAAAAAAAACCAAAACTGAAAACAAACAAACAAAAATGTGATACTGCAAAACAGCCCCTCCCGGCATCCCCCCCCCTCTCCACGCAGCCTGTTGGAATAGGGCTGGGGGGGGGGGGCGCTGCTGTCACCTCCCAGGTAATGTAAACAGAGGACAAAGAAGCCAGAGTCCAGAGCTGGTGGGGAGGGTGGGGGGGGCACCTTTGCCCCCCCCCCCTCCTCCTAGAAGCAGGAGCTCCAGTTCTGATCCGGCCCAGAGGAGGAGACCGGGGGCTCCTGAAGGGGAGGGGGCTCAGACTAAGAAGCAGCCCTCCGAGGGGGGCCCGGAGCTTCCCTGCCCGTCTCGAGGAAGGCGGCCCTTTAAAAAAACTTTTCCCGACTTTAAAAAAAAGCCGGTTGGAGGAATTCGGGGGAAGCTTCCGAAGGTCCCCAAAGGCAGAGAGACGATGCCAGGCCCTCTTTGCCCAGTCAGTGCCCCGAAAGGAGGGCTCCCCCGGAGGGCAGGCCTAGGGAAGAGCCAAGGGGGGGGGAGAGCGGGGGTCAAGCAGCACAGCCAGGGGCAGGAAGGCATTCTGAATTAATTTATTAATATTAATAATAATAATAATAATAATAATACCAAAAAAATTATTGAAACAAATTCCTACATGATCTGGAGGGAGAGAAGTTAAAAAACAAGAAGCAAACTTTCTCAGAATTAAACTAAAAAAGGAGAGAGAGCAGGCACATGATGATAGGAATGAAAAAGAGGTACAAAAAGAGGAGAAAAGGATGTCGAAGCACAATGACAAAATCCAAACACAGAAAAGTCCGTAAATGGGAGACAAAAGCAATATTGCACCGCGGCCAGGAGGGGACCGGTCCGTGGGGGGGAGAGGGGGGGGAGCCTGAATCCGGAGGGATTTGGGGGGGGGGTCTGAGCAACAGAAGGCAGGCAGACAGGCAGGCGTAAAGAGGGCCCCAGCGCAGCCCCTCGGTCCCTGGAAAGGCCCCGTCCCAAAGTCTGCTTATTGCTGGCGCCAGGGAGGCCAGGGAGGCGCCTGCTGCCCTCGCGGTTGTGGCCAGTCCACCTTCGCAGCCCCCGGAGGGGCGGTTGGCGCTTCCAGGACAGCTGGCATCACAGGCAAATATGGCAATATCGAACACCCGGAAGGGAGAAGCAGCTCTTGGACCAACGAGGAGGAGGAGGAGGAGGAGGAGGAGGAAGAAGAGTCACCACCGCCATGAGGTTTCCTTCCCAGAGAAATGCGATGGCTGTTTGGTGCAAGGCTGCGAGATACTGTCGGTTTGAAATGGACCTTTTCACTTTGGAGCGGGACCTGCCAACGCAACGCCCGGAAGGGCCGTGTGAGCCGCTGGGCTGGAGCTGCCAAGACGCTGCCCCCCCCCCCCGGCCCCTTCCGCCTGCTGAGCCAGGAAGCCCCAAGGGGGCCCGGGACGGCTCAGGCCCCGATTCACACGTGCCCTTGGCTCCCCTGCCCCCCAAAGAGGGGCCCCACCGTTAGAGGAGCCAGGTGGGGCGCCCCCCCCCTCACCCGGCGTAGGATGCAGACTCACAGCTGCCATGGGCTGCTAGACCCCCGCTTGCTCCACCCCGAAAGGAAGCTCCGGCTGCCTGTAGCTGAGCAGGACGTCGTTGACGCAGGTGGAGGGGTAGCAAGAGGCGTTGAGATGCTGGCTGCCCTCAGCCAAGCCGGGCTGCTCCTGACCGCCCAGGCGTTCCCCACCATCTGTGGGGGCAGAGGAAAGTGAAACCCCCTCCTGAGCCTCCCAGGCCGAGGGAGGACTGCCCTGCTGGGGCCACCAGCTGGAGGAGCCCCCTGCCCCGCAAGGACCGCCCCAGGGTCCCCCAGCGCTGCGTCTCTAGCACTCACCCCTCCTCTCCCCCTCGGGGAAGGGCTGGCTGCCCACCAGGGAGCTCTGGCTGAGAACGGCATCGGCCATCCGGGCAGAACTAAGTGCTTTCCCCGCCATGAGGCTCATGCCCAGCAAAGGGTCCAGTTGCACCTGCAGCAGCAGCAAAGGGGGCTCTGAGAGGCTGGGGGGGGGCAGGTGGGTAAGAGGGGGGGACCCGCCCGTCCAGCCCCGCCCACGGCCCAAGCAAAGGGCCAGGCCGTCCAACGCACGTAGGCATCGTCGCTGTTCTGGATGGTGTGGTGTCTCTGCAGGGGCCGGGATCTGGGGTGCACGCCAGGGATCATCCTCACAGGGTACGCCGTGAGCCCCTCCGCGTCGCCCGTCTCCATGTGCCCAGGCGAGGTCCTCTCCTGGCCACCGGTGACCATGGCATCTGGAGGGTGCAAAAGGGGTCAGGAGCTGTCCAGAAGAGTCTGCCAGCCAGCCTGATCTTCTGCCCCTGCAGCCCAGCCCCGTCCGGCTCCACCGGGGGACAGCCAAGGTGAGGACTGGCCGGGCCCTTCTGGGCCGCCAAGGGACCCAAACCAGGACTCCTGGCCACTGAAGGTCAGCAAAGGGCGGGGCAGCCAAGGGGGGGGTTTCCCAGGGGCCGCCTGGCCTCTGCTGCTCCTCCTGGGGGAATCGCCTTCCCTTCATCCCAAATCCCTCCGTGGCCCCCTGCATCACGAGCAGTCAGGCCCCCTGCTTGTCAGAAGCCCTTGCCCCACTCCGGCCCCCAGGCCCCCTACCAGACTGACCTCCACACGGCTGCAGCAGCTCCTGGAACAGCCCCTCCCCTTACCTGCTGCTCTTCCAGGGCTCCCCACCCACCCCCGGCAGTGCTGGGATGCCAGGCCCTGAGAAGCAGCGCCCTCCTCCTGAAGGAAAAGCTGGGGCCGCCGAAATGCCAACCCTGCGGAGGAGGCCACCTCCCACCCACCCCCGCCAGCTGAGCAAGAGAGAGGACCTTTCTGCCCACAAGCTGCCCCTGGAGACGGGAGGCGGCCTTACCTGGGCAGGGCACTTCGCTCCGACAGAAGGGGGAGACGGTCTGGGGCCGATACAGGTGGGCGCCCAGCTCTGGCTCTCCCTCGGCAGGCCCAAACAAAGAGTCCGAGTCCCCAGGCCCCCCAATGCTCAAGAGGAGCAGCGTCTCGGGGCAGCCTTTGGCCTTGTGGCCTCCTGGGAAGGGGTCCCTGGCCCCCACGCACAAGCAGTCCGCCGCTTCCTCCTCCTCCTCCTCCATGCTCTCCGAGTGCAGCAGGGCCGAAGGGGGGGCGTATGCGCGGGGCGGCCCCGAGACCTGCGAGAGGCAGTCCTGTCCCCTGATCTTCAAGAGGGGCTGGGGGCCGGCGTGGGGGTGGTAAGGGTCAGTGTTTTGGTAAGGCAAAGCCAGGGGAGGCCGGTCGGAGAGTTTCTGGGCCATGCTGGGGAGCCCCTGTCCCGCCTCCCCTTGGCTCATCTGCCGGAAGAGCTCCTGGAAGTCCTGCTGCTGCTGCTGGTGCTGCTGGTGCTGCTGCTGCTGTTGCCGCCGCTTGAGCAGCTGGGCCACCTCCGCCGGGGGCAGCCGCAGGTCCGGGTGGCCGGCCAGCGAGTGGCGGGGAGAAAGCAGCCCCTGCAGGATGGGGGGCACTTGCTGGCGCCGGCTGTAGTCTGGCGGGGTGGGGGACAGCAAGGCCTGGTGCAGGGCGGAGGCCGCGTAGTGCTGCTGCTGGCTGCTCTGGGGGAAGCCCGGGAACTGCTCCAGGAGGGGCACCTTCAGGACTGGGGCCGCGGGGAAGCCGGCGGGGGCCGCGGGGCCGAAGCTGCTCGGAGAGACGCGGGACGGCTCAGGGAACAGCTGAGGGTGGAGGTGCGCCTGGGTGTAGCCTGCGGTGGACGGGTACCTGCAAAGAGGGAGGGGGAGCCCCCAGGGGGCCAGGTCAGGGGGTCGCCTGGATCGTTTCCCGGGCCAAGCGGGGGGTGGGGGTGTTCGTGATCTGCAGAGCCCGGCCAGGAGTGCCCACCCTCCCTCGCCCTCAGCCAGCCGGCAGGGCCATACCTGTGCGGGGGCTCGGCGCTGTCGGCACTGAGCTGCTTGGACAGGGGCCGGTGTCCGTAGGTCAGGGAGGCCATCAGACTGGCACGATGGTGCATGTGCAGCGGACTGGCGCTGGGGGGCATGGGCAAGCCCCTCCCGCCCTGCAGAAGGCTGCTGCCCATGAGGTCTCCGGGCTCCTGCATCGGGACGGGCTGTCCCGGCTGCTGCATGCCCAGGCAGGACAAGGCCAGGTTAGGGGGCGGGGAGCGGTTCCCAGGCTGCTGGAAGAGGTTGCCGTGGGGAGGCGGAGGCGATGGCGTCCCCCCCTGAAACGGGGTCTGGGAGGCTGCACCTGCAAAGAGCAGAGCCCTCCTGATGAGCGAGTCCCTCCCCTCCCTTCCCCCCCCCCCAAAAAAGCCCCTGGCCCTGCCTGGGCAGCAGAGAGAGAGGGGCCCTGTGGAGCAGCCCGACCCCTGCCTGGCAGCCAACACCTACTGTGGGTCTGGAGCAGGCTGCTGCTGACGGGTGGGGGGCTGCTGTCTTTCTGCTTGAAGAGATGATTGCTGGGGTGGGCTGGGGGTGGGCTGGAGGGCTGGATCTGTAATCTAGGGGCACAAAGAAAAGAGCCTGCAGGATCCCCTGGGTGAGCCTGTCCCTCCCTCCCTCCGGCTGCTCTGGGCCTTCCCTACCCCAGCGGGGCCTGGCGCTCTGCCCCAAGTGGAACGCCTGAACCTAGGAGCGGAAGCCGTGCCCGGCTGGCACCGAACCCCTCTGGTTCAGCACAAGGAGCCCCAGCCACTCCTCCAGGCCAAGAGACTCCCAGGAAGGGTCCAACCTCAGGGCCAGCACCCCGTCTTGTGGTACCCAATTCTAGTGTTTAAGCAATAAATTCAGGCCCAGGAAATGAAAGGCAGGGATCCCCCCCCAAACCCAAACCCAGGAAAGCGAAAGCGAAAGTAGGGGATGAGGCCTCCCCACAGAGGGCCCCGTGGCCAGAGGGAGGGGCCTTGGCCGCCTTCACACCCGCATTTCCACCTCTCCCCCAATCAGGGCCTGGAAGCCCCCAGAGTTTCCCCCTTGTAATCCTCGTCCCCCCCCCCCCAAGCGAAGGACAACAGCTCCGAGCTCAGCTTTATTTGGCATTTTTTTGCTCTGCTCGGCAACTTCCCT